GCATAAGTCCCAGCAGCAGGAGGAGCTCAACGAGGTTCTCCGCAAGGCCAGGACGAATCCATGGCATCTCTTCGCGCACGGCAAGTTGCACATGGTGGACTCCTCTGGCCAGCCGATGCTTAGCACCTATGGCGATGCCCTCGTTCAGGTCACCCCCTGGCACACTTTGACTACTTCTATGAGAGAGTCTTTGGGTGGTGAATACGATTGGGCATCGTGGTTGCAGCATCCTCTTTCGGGGTACTCCCTGCACTTCTTCCTCAAGGCCTTCGAGATGGGGAAGTTGCAGGGGAACTACCTCGTGGAGCTGGACAAGAAACCGAAGGTTTACTCCAACGGTTACACGTCACCTTGGATGAACTTTAAGCGTCATCCTGGCGGTCTTGCCCAGATGCTGGACGATGTCTCCGTTGCCGCGTCGAACGAATTCAGGCCCAACTTGGGTAACATTGGATTCGATCGCCCTCGGGACAATGACTCTCGTGCAAAGATGCCAAGGACAGAGGATCCCGACTACTCTCGCAAGCTCGCCGCACACAAGGCTTTCCTCAGGGAAAGGTATGTGTATGAAGAGGTTGGCTATGTGCGAGAGGATTTCCAGATGCTCGTCCGCGTCATCAATGAGGCTTATGGAGTGGACTTCTTCTCCTACATCCAGCGCCACGCCGGTGATCTGGAGGTTCGCCGTAAATACACGGTGCGAACCCCTGAGGGCTATTGTCTCTATGACAGTACCCTGAAGCAGCCGTTCAACGGCAGCTACCTCCTGGCGGTTCTGGAGAAAGTCTTCGCTGAGTCTGACCAGCGCGATTTCAAGTCGGCTTTCGCCCGCAAGGCAAAAGCTGATTTAGTGGCGTACGAAGACTTGAAGGCGAAGAAGGAGTCTGAGCTGAATGAGCTCCTCACCCGACCATATGACGACATTATGATCGAGGAGTTCATCGAGCGACTCCCATGTCCACAGATCGAGGAGATCGAGGAGCCTCCCGCGGCTACTCAGATGGATACCTCCGAACCGTCGTCTGGATCCACGGACTTGCCACAGGGCAAGAAGGTTGATCCGGTTAAGACCGAGCCGACCGATGTGCCAATGGAGACTGAAGCTCCAGAAAGCTCTCCACAGGGAGAGGCATCTGGGGCTACTGTCGAGCCAATGGATACGGACGCTCCGGAAAGCTCTCCACATGGGGAGGCATCTGGGGTGGATGTTCCACAACAGAAGACCGAAGCCACGGAAAGCTCTCCACAGGGAGAGGCATCCGAGGTGAAGGTCGAACCTGATGTGCACATGGGTCAGGAAGGAGGTAAGTCCGAGAACGTCGAAATGGCTGAGGAAGGCTCACCACAGGGTGAGGAATCCATGCCAGACATTTCTCCCGAGAAGGATGATGAAAGTGAACTTCACGATCAAGGCATCTGGGGGAAATGCAAGACTGTTCCGGATCCTGAGTACTACCAGGCCGCGAAGGATGCAGAGGACCAGAATGAGAACGCGTTCGACAAGATGGGCAAAGCAAAGGAAAAGATCGAGCTCGTCGATCTCGAAGAGTTCAAACATTTCCTTACGCAGCTCACCGAAATCGAACGACAAAGCCCTATGCGGCTGCTCTGCAAGCAGTTGCATGGATATGGCTATTCAGGCTTGTATCATACAGGACTTCGTGATCCTGATTACGAGCCCGTTCTCGCCTACAAGGTGCAGCATATGAGTTGGAGGGTAAATGTTCCGAACCACAAGGGACAGAAATACTCTCTCTCTATGGTGGATCTATTCGACCAACTCAACAAGATGGATCCCATCTATGAGCGTCGTCCCGACAAAAAGGACGTTGTTTTTCGTTCTGGGGACGTTCGTAGCACCTTGGACGACAAGCTCATGGGCAAGGCCTCTGACATCCGAGAATCAGCACTGGATGTTATGGAAGCACTTCTTGATAAGCTGAAGTCCCTGGATGCAAGCGGCAATCCGGCAACTCGAGAAGAACTTTTGAATGCTATGCTTCACTACTTCTTGAGCACCGGAGTCGATGAAGAGGAGATCGGGGACCTCTCTCTTGAGAAGACGCCGAATCCTTATATTCATCGTTTTGGTCTGGCAGAGGACTCCAATGTCCCTATCTTCACCAGCAAGACCAAGTATGCCGCGCTCATCCTCAATCTCGGCAACATGAGCAGGGGAAGAAAGCGTTCCGCTCCTAGCTCCGTTGCTAATCACATTGACTGGGACGATGCTACACCATCTAAAGGAGCCTTGATAAAATCGATTGCACAGTCGAAGACGCATTTGTTCATGCTCTGCGAAGCGGCTAAGATCGATGACTCCGAAGAGGCCTTCCTCAAGTCACGCGGTTGGCAATTCCTTCGTAACGAGTCCAAGGACCTGATGGTGGGAAGTCGTACAAATGGTGTCGGATCTTCGATCACCCGTCTTGCCGGCTCCACTCTCAGTGGATATGCCCACGAGTCCCTTCCAATAACCTATATGGTCGCGGAAATCGTGTATGGCATGACGTTACCGACTGGTCTCCAGGGCAGTCGTGGTGATGTTCCAGATGAGTCACTGACCACGGTCTTGGAGCGAGCTGGATCCGACCGGCTAAGAGTTTGTGTCTTCCACCTCCACAACGACGCGGCGGCAGACAAAGTGGCGTTGGCTCATGAAGTGTTGGGCAACATGTTCATCGACTGCTTGCACTACCAAGTCGACCTCATCGGTGGCGACGCCAACATGGCCCTCTACCGGGCCACCGGCCGAAAGCAGGAGTCGATGGATATTCGTGGCGGAATGTACCAAAGCCTTCTCGACTACTTCTTGGAGGCATGGTCAGAAAGCCCAAAGTGCCCACACTTCTGTTCGCCTCGTGCGAGACATGTGTCAGCAAACGCCATGTGGCTTCTGAAACAGTATGAGGACACGCTGGGAATGCCATACAAGGAAGCTAAGCAACCAGACTGGAATACTTTTCCTGGTTTGGATCCTGTTATGGCTACAGTCATGGAATGGGGACACAGCATGTCGGACGATCAATGGGCGGAGTTTCCGTCTTCAAAGACTGAGTTCGACATCCATGTCTCTGAGTGGCTGTTAAACTCCACCAGCGCCGCGTACCTTCTCAACGATCGGGACTATGACGCTCACACTCCGCTCCTCATCGAGGTTCACGCGAACCAGTACTCTGGAGGCAGGATGAGAGCGCTCAACCGCAATCCCGACACCATGAAGGAAGCCGCGGACAGAAGAAAAGAGAGACAGAAGCTGAACAAGGCGCGTGGTTCTGGTTCTACTGGTCCTGCAGCCGCACCACAGGGAGCAAGCTCTTCTCAGGAAGAGGCAGCTTCTGGTGCTAAAGCTTCTGGTTCTCAACGTCCTCAAGAACCCGCACAACCTCCTGGTGGCAAAGAAGGCGGCAAAGGAGGCAAGTCCTCCAAAGGAAAAGGCAAGGACGCCGACAAGGGCAAGTCCAAAGGCAAGTCCAAGGACAAGTCCAAGGGCAAGAGCAAGGGGAAACACTGACTAGGTTCCGATTCTTCGGATGTGGAAATGGACAATGGACTCGACGAGGTTCTTTTGGAACAAGATGATGCCGTTGCTCCTGATCCACAGATCTCGTTACCTAGATCCCCTGCTGATCCCCGCGGTTACGACCCTGTTCGCCATGCTCCGGTGATGCCGATCCACACGGTTGACATTTACCGCTGGCATGGTACTGAACATTGGCGTGATAGAACCTGGCATCGCGACATAGAGTTCATCGACTGAACTGGCAGAGTGTTTCACGGAATGCTTCTTTCAGAAGAAGGTATCCACTTGAGCATTCGTCATTTCATAGGGAGATGCTTTTCTCAGGAAAAGGTACTTCCTAAAGAACTCTTTCTCAAAGAAAGATACTTATCTCAAGATAAGATACTTCTCATGCCCTTATATATTTGCCGTGTCGCAAGATGTCATGCTGGCATCAAGTGGAGCTAAGCTCTACAATCTTTTATGTGACAGTAAGCTTTCCGCCTGGAGAGGAAACTGAACACAAGTGGGCAACTTTCAAGCAAAAGTTTTCAGTTGAAGATCCGTTTGCGTTTTCGTGCGTGTTCTGCTCTTTTCATTGAAGCTGTCTTCAGGTGAGAGATGTATAGATTCTCTTCAAGTCGCAGATGTAGCTCAATACTCCGCTAATTCGACCGAGAGCAATAACAGGCTAGTTGAATGCCGACTCCACGGCCATGCAGCTCTACGTGTTTTAAATTTGTGCCTGGTTGAAACACTGAATGTTACACATCCAGGTGCCTGTCTGTTTCACGTATCACTTGCATGTATCCATGCCTGTTGCTCAAGGTTCTACTGCAGTGGACTACAGCTGTGCGCCTGTAGCAAAAGAGACACCTGAGTGCCTGTGTTCCTGTACGCCTAGCGAGGGGATACACGTCCAGGTTACATCTCAACGGGGGGGGGGGGATACCATTGAGGGGGGGGGGGGGGGGTGAACCGAGAACCGGGATCATATATGGTCAGGCGTCTGGCGTTCCCAGGGGCTGGCGTGTGCGGAAAGCTGTCGGGGCCAGCTGCCACTGGATGGTGGGATGGTGCTGGCGCCAGGGCTCACACGCGAGCCCTTCGTCGCAAGCAAGCTGTAAACCCTATAACGCAGCGCATGCCCCTGTTTTGAGTAACCTTAACTTGTACTTCAAGCCCTACACCCAACCGTAAACCCCACCTAACTGCAGGCTCTAAGCCTAAAGCAGAACCAAATCCTCCCTAAGCCCTTGTCGACTCGAAGCGTTATACCTTGTATTGTAACCGTAAACCCAACACTCAAAAGCTTAAGCTAAACCCTAAAACCCAAAACCCACGACCACCCCACAGGGGGAAGAGGCCCACACCCCACACCACACAGAACGGGGAGTCCCACCCTATATCCGGACCATTGACCTTTGGGGGGGGAGGGGGGGGGCCGCGGAGGGCGTGACCATGGAAGCACGCCAGGCATGTTTGCACACTTGATCAGGCGAGCTTGCGCTTGCCGCGCAGGAGGTGGCATAAGCGGAGAAGCTCGGGGGGCCCAAAGACCGCCCCCCCCGTTTGGAGCTTCAGCTTGGAGCAGGGCTCGACACGGTCGAAACATACCACAAAGTCGAAGATTGCCTTAGGGGTGCCTAAATGATACACTGCCTGAGCTCAGGGCTCAAGTCTCAGCGCCCCTTGGGCGTAAGCTTCGTGCAATCTTTGCATTGGCGCCATTCGATGATGCTGTCCGCAGAGACTTTGTAGCAAGGAAGCATCGATAAGCAACGAGGTTCAGACGATGATTGATGGTTATAGTGGCTCTTCGTGCAGAGATGCGTAGATCACTCGGGCGGCCTGGCCTGTCATGTTCGGTTTTTTTGACAGCTGGTTGTTGGTCTGGCCTTCAGGTAAGTAACCATCATAGTGCAAATCACAGACAAGAAATCCTTGCGGCTGTAGTTGTAGTGGAGGTTTCTTTGCACACGTGCCTTTACCAGGTCCTTGGGCTTAGGCCATTTGGTGGCTCATGATCGATGAACCAGGTGCTGTTTCATTGGCGGTAATGGCCAGCTGAAGACTTACCTTCGAAATCCGCATCATCGGATGTACAGCTCCAGTCGGTTTCTAACCACCCAGGTTGTCTCACGACGATCGCCTCAGTTTCGGGTTTATGTAAAACCACGGTTCGGCTTGATGCAAATGCCCAAACTTGGCTCAGAAAGAATCGAACGCAGAGACATTCGATCTTCGTGCTTCCCGGGTGTCCTTAGCGTGCGGGGATCCAGCGGCCAAGCCTTTGTTCTTCAAGCTGCTGTAGAGAATCGTGTGAGTAGCTGTTCGAACCGTTATGTAAGTGTGGAAGAAGAATATGTAGAGGCTATATAGTGTATGAGTGTATGGATGCATAAATGCCTCTAGTTCATTCAACGGGAGGTTACACCCACAGACATGTCTCACGGCCCACCCTCGCAGCGAATTCAGCGAATGCTTCAGATGTAGATGCTCCGTTTGACCATAGAGAGGAAAAGGGCGCCTGAGGATGCCCGGATCCGTGGGGCAGCGACAGCAGAGCCTTTCACGGCTGATCGACTTGAGGTAGTCCCGGAAACCTGAGGTTGGGAGGCATTGCAAGGGTTCTGGGGCAAAATTATCAGGCCATTAGGGCGTGCCCACACTCGATGTCTCGATGTCCGGACCGGTCAGATTTCGGCTTCAGCGTCGAAGTTGGGCAGCTTGCAGGACCGCTGCCATACGCGCAGCGCAAAGCATGGAATGCGCGAGCTGCAAGCTCGAAGCCAAGATCTCCACAACTTTCCCCTTCGCCCCCCCCTCCACAGAAAGCGAAAGGCGAAGTTGAGAGAAGACAGCCGCGGGTTAGGCCCTAGGCCAGGTTAGGTTTACAGCGTGTATAACTTCTGAGGCATCGTTCTGTGGAAATACCTCCGCAAGCAGGGTCTGCATTGTAAAGAGGCTATGCATCCTTTTTTGCTCGGGCCCAGCTTCCTTACGAAAATAACTGAAAAGTAGCCGCTGCCTTTTTGTTTCTGGGTCTCTTTGTGTTGTTTGCATGAGTAACGCCTAGCAGATCATAGTTTATGCCTTCAGCATCCTTTGCATAAGCTGCCGAGGAAACTTCTGGATACCTGCGACGAGCAGGACTACTACGCTCTGTGCGCCCCTGCAGTATCCGTACCAGTGGCTTAAGCCCGATAAGGCCAGTTCCGGTCAGCAATGTGCCGGGTCCCCGCCAAGTGATTCAAGAGTGTCGTTCGATTTGCAAGCTACGTCATCTCCGAACAGCCATCGCTTTATCAGACATTAGTAGCTCATACTGACAACACTTTCCATTCCTCATCAGATCGCCTTCCAAAGCATCTGTGGCCAGCATGATGCCGTGCATTAGCGGCCAAGCGGTCATTCACAGACATGCTCTGGCCCACTCTGGGTGTTCATATCAGGTGGCGATGTGAAGACGGGCACGAGTTCTTTGTGTGCCAGGAGCCGTGAAGCCTTGTCTGCTCTGGGTTTTGCTTCAGCCTCGCCCGGCTCGATTTGAGATGTTCCATCGCACTATTGAGTAGTTGTGCTGCAGAAGTCCTGGCTTCACCAAGGAATCTCAATGCAACAAGCGATCCAGCCTATGGCCTAGAGTACACCAGACTCACACTGACAGGAGGCATGCGAGCAGAAGTTCAAGGAAAGATGGGACGAGGTTCTGGAGTCAGGGATCGGTTTCCTTCGAAATTCCATGAGGCTTACGCGGCTAAACGAGGTGGCCGTTTGATCCCAGGCATCGTGCAGACAAGCCCTTCTAGGCTTTCGAGTGGTGCAACTCATAACAGGGGTCATAGGGGGGCCCTGTCAGGCTTCGGGGAGTTCCAAGCTTTTCCGGCATAAGCTTTCACAAGCTCTTTCTGAGGGCAATACAAATCCCCCTGTGAGTCGACCAACCATACATCAGGAATGCCATTCTTTGATGTGGTTCCAGCACAGGTCGAGAAGGAGAACTCGCTGCGCCTGCGAGGACTCAACCAGGTCGGCTCCGCAGAGTTGCCGTACGGACTCTCGCAAGTGCCTGTGGAGTATGCCGAGAAGCAAAGTGAAGCAATTAGCCTCGGATGTACCATGAACTAGACCCGGATGTTCAGTTTTTCCCGCAGCACACCTGGCGAAGCTGGACATCAACACCCAGATTCAAACGTGAGATAGACATGACACAACTACTCCAGTGAAACTCTCTCGCAGAGTTCATCCGTGCAGGGCCATGCCCGGAAGAAAATCACCAATCATGAAGAGAGGCGGGATCTGCGGGGAAACAGAGAGTGGTTCGTTACCACAGCCAGAATGGGAGACCTTCGGGTCCGGCAGCGTGGTGATGGGAGCTACGGCAATCCTTGCACAGCGAGCTTGTGTGTCACAGAATGTCCCAGAGCCGAATCGGATGTGGACTTCATGTCTCGACGGGCAGCTGCAGGCCCTGGCATCGGTTAATATGTTTCCAGGATCCTGATGCATCTGTTCGGATTGTGCATTGTTTGGGGTTTAGGGCAGTGCCTCCACAGGCTGAAGAGAAAGGAAGGCTACGAAGGTCGCTGCCCCGCTGAGAGCAACGACGCTTTGGCAGCAGCTGGGGTCATGCTGTGAAGGCTGGAGTGATGTGTCTCGGTCTCAATCGAAGCTTAGCTTCGGAGACATCAGAAGCTCAGAAGCAAAACTTGATATCACGCCTCAGCCGCAAAAGAAGCCAAGGACCGTGGCATGAAGCATTGCTCGAAAGGGCTGCAGAGGGCGCTCCGAGCTGAAGGGACTACTGACCGCTTTCGGCTTCGGGCTTCTGATGATCTATGAATCTATGACCTCTTCTTTCGCGGATTTGGCGCCAGGTCGTTTATGCAGTAGGTCGATGTAGACTGCAAACCCCGACTCAACTAATTAGTTGGACTTCAGTTCCGCGTTTGTCATTCTGCCGGAGTGCTCTCAGCACACTCTCAAAGCTCTGTGTTGGCCGGGGCAGGTGTCAGGCCGCAGTGTGAAGGACAAGGCCAGGGCTTCTTTCGGTTGCAGCGCTTGGCATCCCCGCCGTAGCATGCCGGCATGCCGAGTCCTGTAGTCGTGTAAGTCAGAAGAAGCACGGCCACGAGCTCCCACTCGCTTCACAGACCGCCACGAGCCAGCGTGAAGCGGAGACTGAGACGCCCCAGAAGCGAGTCAGGCCAGCGACGGCTCAAGGCTTATACGGCTAATTAAGGGCACTGTGGGCACTGTTCCGAAATCAAGCCACTAGCCCAAGCACATCCTAAGCTTTCCGTCAAGGGTTCCGGATATGCTGATTTTGGATTGTGGTCTCTTGGCTGAGCCACGGCATAGAAACCACATGCTTTTCCTACAGGGGCGGTGATTCGCCTCCGCAGCCTGGCACGGCAACGTTGGTAGAGCTTAGCAGTTCGGCGCTGGCTCTTAGACCCCCAAGTACCCCTTGTTATACCCCAAATACCCACCAGCAAGGACCATAAGGGCTCTGTTAAAGGGCCATTGGGGGTCCTGGCTGACTGCCTGTTGGTACTTGTTCCTTTGCGTAGCATTGCTCGTCGGCGCACGCCTGCGACAATCCTGATTGACCCCGACATGCAGGAGCCATTTGTTTCTGAGGACTTCATTCGCTTGTCAAAGAAGTGAGGAGCAAGCCTACTTAGATCGCACGACCTCAGTGACCTCTGGCCCCGAAACACTTTTGATTAAAGTCCAGGAATGATCTTCCACGAGTTTGGAGGTTCCGATTTAAGCTTCGGCATACAAGTGCTGTCCTACAGAGTCCTGAGCGCATCCACACAAACGGTCGGGGGGCCATGGCGGACAATGTCGGCAACGAGCATTCCGACTGGGATGGTTCGGCAACAGAGGAGTCCGAGGCCGGCTGTTGACTTGAGGTTCCTGGGCCTGGGCTGCCTGGGCTGTGTAGAGCAGTGCTCCATTGCTACTGTACCAGTCGTCTGCTGATTGAATCCCATTTAAACTCTTCCTGTTTCCAGTATGCTGTGAGAGTTGGCCAACCCCGAAACGTACCTGGTCCACCTCCTACTGAGCAGCCATTGGTCAGTCTTTCGACTCGGCGACGCAGATTGAGCTCGAAGATCATTTGCCACCAGACCTGACTTAGTGAGATTGCAAACGGTCGTTCGAAGTTAGCGCCGTAAGCTGCGAAGGGCCGTGACAGCTCAGGCTTCGGGAGTCTTGGGAAAGTTGCGGAACTTCTGGGTTTGTCCAACCTCTCTGTTTTGGCGGGTGGGGACTGGGCAGCTGGCTGCCCGGTTCGGTCCACACAGGCCTGGGACGGTTCTATTTGGAAGATCATCTGGGGCTCCAGACGTACTGGGATCATTCCCCGGAGGTACATGCCTCTCTCGGCACTCCTCCTGATCCCATTTGGGTGTCCGGCATAACGTCTCAAGCAAACGCTGGAACATATATAGAGTCAAGCCCAGACGCTTAGCTCAGCCCCTCAACCCTTGGACCGAACGATAACCGGTGGAACATCACCCATCCAGAGAGCGAGCGTTTCCCGTCTCGCGCACCCGACAAGCACGTCGCAAGGCCCATAAGCTGCCCGTGCCACAACCGGTGTACAAATACAGCAAACTTGACCGCTTGGCCCCCCCGGCGGTGAGTCTCGATGTTTGCGTGCTGCCAGAGTCACTCGCCATGGCCTGCCAGCTGCGAGCGCTGTGGGTCTTCCACAAGGAGTCAGAGGCCGACCGTTCAGTTTGCTGTTCGAGTGGACAGTATCGGGCGGAATCCGAAGAACCGAAGCTGCTGAAGCTCCTTCAAAGTGGAGTCAAGAAGAAAAGCTGAGCAGACGCCTTGCTGCAGGTTCGACTGCTCACGAGCCGCCGCTTTCCCACCGTGGAGCCGTGGCTGCTTGAGTGTGATGTGAGTTGCGACACGACCCGCCGTGAAGAGGCCTTACTAAACTCATGAGAATCCGAAGTGCAAGGAGAGCAAGCTCCAGCGCCTACAAGGCTCGAGCTGATCAGGCTTTCTGTTCTTGCTTGTGCTGAGGCAAGGGTATGATCCGGAAGAGAAAGTGGCGGGTCCCTTTCCAACAATGATCTCAGGTTTGCGGCTACAGCAGCAACAGAAGTGGTTCAGCTTGGGTGTTGTTTCCCGTCCGGGCCTGACAGTTTCGCGGTTTCGGGGTGCAAAGGAGAGGATTTAACAAAGGCACAAGTGTAATCGCCACTCTTTGGTTTGTTGCTCCGATCTTTGGCGCCTTGGGAAAGGTGAGCGCAGCACAGCACAGAAATCTCGGCGCATGCTCGGAATCCGTATCAGGCTTCGGTGTTCGGAAGGTCTCACTACTATGTAGGGGCAATTCCGGAGAGGCAGCAACCACGTGCCGCTTCCCTGTGACGAAGACATCAGCCACCTCTTCGTATCGGAGGCTTGCAGCTGGATCTTAGGCTCAGGAAGAGATGGATATGTGGAGATGTGGGCGGCCGCCAAGTGCTTGCTGTCGAGCTCGCGCTTCTCGAGAGTAACATGACAGCCTCCAGGGAGGCATGATTAGCCTTACCAACGGGCCCAGTGTGCCTTGCATCTCACAATTTTCAGCTCGCTTCTCACAACCGTCCTGTAGCCTGTGCCAGGTTCTGGAGGAGGAGGAAGACCACAGCCTCCCTGCAGACCTGCCGGCCCCCTTCCACGAGGATTCGGGAGGGAAAGACTTCGCCTGTTAAGAGGAGTGGTGATTAGAATTCTGCGCTGGAATCTTCCTGCCATGCTGGGGTGAAACATAGAGTCAGATCCATGAGCTTGAGTCGGGCTATCTGCTCAGCAGATTCCCATTCCCGTCGGAATCTGAGGACTTCCATCAGGGCTCCTTCAGCTGGGATCCCGCGGAGGACGGAGAGTTTCCAGCTCGGGTTGATGTGCTTCTCTTGTCATGATGCCTCTGCCCCATATCTGACGACTTGACGTCGATAAGATTCGACAAAATATCGTGTATGAATCCTGATTACAGGAAGGGCGCAAGGCTGTCGTCAAGCATTTTCGGTCGTGGTAGCTGCTTCAGAACTTCAGTGAAGAATAGCAGTGTAGCAGGGAGACATGCGCAAGATCGGGCTCGCGGCTACATGGATGTCAAGTTTCAGTTCACGTCGTCACGTGAAGGAGGCAGGCCTCCAGGTCGGATTGCAACAGGCCGGGGCAATAAAGTGCCCGCATCTCCGGAGGAGTCGCGGATGGAAAAGCTTTGGCCGCTGGGTCCGATGACAGCGCTAATGCTCCATGACTGCAAATGAAGTGGTGCTTTAAGAAGCTCATGGCAATATCAGGCGTGAAGAACCCAAGCGCACATAGCCGTGGTTATGAAAGCTATGTTGGGCGACTGCCAAGTCCCAGCTGGATATGCTGATATGCTAGGCCTGAGTTGACAGAAAGCCGGAGCTCATGGCAATGCACGGTGCCCTGCACCAGCGCAAATTCCGGCTGCATCCCATTCCGAAATTCTCTGGAAGGATTAAGCGTTCCATGCCCCGTCATCTCGCTCACGGAAAATGCATGTCATTTGCCCTTCACGGTCGCGTGCGGTGTGCACGGCGCAAAAGGCTCTCTGATTACGGAGCGATAGAGAAACCGCTGAAATTAACTTGTTGACACCTCAGCATCTTTCAGGAAAGGAAAGATATGGCCGGTGGTGTTCCTGCACAAGAAAGGCTTCTTGGAATGAATTGGGTGTCCAAAGCCCATGGAAAGCCATTGAAAACCCATGTTGCATGACCGTGCGCTGCGCTGCGTGCAGACTGCTTTGTCCAAGCTCCCGCCCTAGACTTTGGCAGGGTACTACCTGGTGACAGCCGTGGCTATCATGGATCGCAGCTATCAGGCCACATTGTGACTTGCGCAGCCTGACGGTAGAGACTCTTTTTCAAGCCTTCGAACTCCTGCACACTGAGACATGTCATGATGTAGTGAGGAGCTGTAAAACTGTTCCGTGTTGCTTTAGGGACGATCATATCAGTTCAGAATTCTCTTAGTGCTGTGGAGGTTGACTCTCAACCTGCGATGCGAGTGTCCATCTATCCAACACATTTCTTGGAGCTCTACGCACGGTGGAAGTTGCCGTGCTGATTTGCTGGTGTCTTCCTTTGATGCAGGGGGGCTGAACGGAGAGGCTCACATGCGCTCGCACCTACGCAGTTGGCCCAAAAAGCTGAATGCTGGGACACTCTTCGTTGGACAGCGGAAGCAGTTGTGAGCGGCTAAGTGTATTGTACGCCGAAGAACAGTTGAACAGAAGGCTCCGCAAATCCACTCCTCAAGCCTAAGGCACCCCACCCTGCAAGTCTGAATTCTGAGCAGGAAAAAGCTGGCGAAGGCACGTGCAGAATGTGTAATTTCTGCAGAAAAAAGGGTGCCCGTGAAGCTTGTCTTTGCCCATGTTATGGCCAGCCTCTGCCCCCCCACTCGATCCTCTCAATGGTTGAGTTCACAGCAATGCTTCCCTCACATCGCGTCACATACATCGGGCCATCATAGGCTTTGGATTTGTACCAGCTAATGGCATCAATCACCCTCAGGCCGCACGCCGGGAGATAGTCAGCATCCCATGTCCTGCACCTTGCGCCCCTTTCCCATTAAATGTAAGTCAGTGTAAGCCATGCAAGATACCAGAGTCAGGTCGTGGCAGCGATGGTCGTAACTGGCCGTACTAGTTTAGAGGCACTGCACTGTTCAGCTCTTTGGGAACACCCGCAACAGAAACGAAGCAATTGATTCTATATTTCCGGCTGCCCATCGCAATGGATAACGAAGCGTGCATAATACAGTAGTATATATCCTCTTAAGGCATCAACAAGAATGCTGCACGCGAGGGAAAGGTTCAACCAGACTATGCAGCCCTCACCTTCAACTGACCACAACCTCGTCAGTGCAAGCTGAACACAAGACGCATGCAGGGGAACGTCCCCGCGCGCTGGATTTGCCTTCAGTGACCGCCGCATTCGCGGTGCTAGAGGCGAGGTACAAACCGTTTCTCTTGAGCAGCTGAGTTCTACTGATCTACCGCTTGAGAGCCGGTTGCTTGCAAGCCTCAAGCTGTTGCAAACCAGAAGATCCTGCATGAAGTAGTTTCAGACTTCTCGTTTTTTTGGGAACCACTGCCGCTCAATAAACATGCTCTTCTCAGCAATTTTCCTTTCAATCATACTTCGTGGT